ATTATCAAGATAATTCTCCATTGTCATAAATTTAAAATGTTACTCATGCTCTCCAAAGCCAATGGTAGAATGTGTAGCGCTGCAATGGAAGAAAGAGGAGATGAACACGTTACCACATATCCTATGAAATACAGTATTTAACTTCATTCTTCTATTCATCAGTAATACTAAAAGTAACTTCCCAAAGACTAGAGAGAGGCTGATGATATCCCACAGAGACATCATCCTGACAGACTAACTGCTCTGTCTTCCTTGTAGCTTCTGTGAACACTGCTTCTTATGTCAGGCTTCATACTTTTGAATGATTTCTGCAGTAACTCTCCCACTTTACACAAGGCTTTGGCCCCCATAATCACAGTGTAGCACTTAAATTGTCCAGCCAAGAACACTTTCCATTTTTATTTTTGGTAGGTTTTCCACTTCTCCTCTGCTGTGACCCAAGGATTTTGATAGTGTACTCGAAGATGCTATGAGTTAGGTATAAGAGTACACATATGACGAGCCCAGGTGTACTGCAGAAAGGCAAAAGCAGAAATGATGTTTTTATTCACTCTATCAAAGGCAACAGTTGAAGGAATGCTGCTAGTAGACTGTGAACAGTAGAGGTTAGAACATGGTTTCTTCAAACAAACGGTATGAAAAAATATTTAGGCTTATAATTAGTTCAAATGTCCAGAATAAAACTGGTAGGATTGTTATGACAATTATTGAAGGTATTATAATTATGCCTTCTTATCATGTGCTTTTATGAAGAAAAAGAAAAAATATACTTTGTTTATTCATAATTGTTATTCAGGCAAAATTCTTACTAAGGCAATTTCTAGCTTTAATACTACTTACTTTTACATTCCCTTTAAAAGCAACGGTGAGATTTTTGTCGCATTACCCTTTGTTTGATATTTGCTTTATCTTAATTAGTGCTCATAAATTACCATGAAGAATGTTGCTATATCCATTTCCTAATGCTTTCCAGCAGCTATGCAGACATTCCACACAAGTTGAAATAAACATATTAAAATTGTAACACATGCTGCAGCTGGTGGAAATTTAAGGGGTATCTCAATTTAGTTATCAGCTTTTCACAAGCGTGAAAATTCTAGGTTGGATAGGTAAAGGCAGCAACCATAACTTTCAATTAGTGTGAGTGTTGTTACATGGGAATCAGCCTTTATAAAACAGAAGTACTGCTTCTTTTAGGCAGAAGTAGCTTAATTCAAATTCTTTTTCTCTAATGCAGTCTACACCTATGCCTATGACCGATTCAAAGCTTACCATTCCAAACCGATGATTAAGCAGGGGTAGCTGCCTCAGATAAATACCTCAGTGTTGTCTGAGCCTGGTTTTCTAAATGCCTAATCCATCCTGTTCAGTGTTTAGTTAAGTCACTCTGCTAAACTGTGACTCTGAGAGTGGTATAACTTCTCAGCTTGCCAGCAGCTCCATGTACAATGTATTGACTTACAGATGAAATTTATGCATTTTGATCAGTTAGGTTTTCTGAAGGGGATCCAGACCTTGAGAAGATGTTTAATAGCATGCATCCTATTCAGTGATGGTAGTTCGAAGACAGCATACTGTAAAAGGCTATAGTGAAAGTATAAATAATATTCAGCAGAGCTGTTTTCCAGTAGCTATTCCAACCACTTCATTCAAAGTCACCTTTGCAAGATAGTGCTTACTGACTTGGTGCTTCTACTGCCAATGCGAAGCAGCTGATACTGTTCGGTTTCTCTTGGTTCTTACATGAATGAGGATAAATGCGTGCACATGATGCCTGTATAACTTCAAAACACTAGTCAACAACTTGCTGAAAATGTGATCAGGATGCTCATTACCGGAAAGCAATGCTGCTATCCTTTCTTTATCCCATCAGTCTTCTCAGGGCAGTAATTCTCCTTTGCCTGTTTCTTGGATATGAATAAACAGCCTGAACAGATACTTGTATTAACATGCATCTGTAGTGCAACTCCTATCTTGCAAAACTCTCCCTCTTAACTTACTCCTCTTACTTAAAGAGACAGATAAACCTGTCAGAATTTAAACTGTATTTGGCTTTTATTTGCTGTTTGATGCTCATTCTTGTAATTTCTCAGATTCTCTTTTTCTCTTTTCCTTCTGGCATTTCAAAAGCATCTGTACTTAAATTTATGTATCCATGTTATCTTACATGTTTCAGATTACCATCATCACTATTTAATAAACTTCTTTGTATAATCTGCAACAGAAATTTAAAACATGAGCATTTAGGTGGGTTTGTTGGTTGTTTTTTGGTTTTGTTTTGATGTTTCATTAATACTGGGTGTATATGCTTTAGAAAGAAATCCGATTGCTTGTGTTAAGAAGAGTCTCCTTTTATAAATATTTCAGTAAGCCCCTAAGTTGCACTGAGGTGTTAAGATCTGCGACTTACAAGAAAGGCTTGTACTCAGCAATGCCTTGAAACTTTTGGTATCAGGTATAATTCTGTGGTACAGAGTATATTTTGCTATCTTGTTCTTGCCCCAAAATGGAAAATAGTCTTAGCCTTTAACTTTATATTTTCCTATTGTCCAATTAGTCGTAACTGCAAAAAGAGTGTCCAGAGCTGGTTTCTGATATTTCTATAGCAACCTGTTGCTAGTAATCGTCAGTGCTGAGAACTGAACACGAAATAAATTAGTTCTTTTGCATGCTTAATGATTCAAGTCCAAATCAAAAAGAAACAGCCATAAACACAACCCTGGGAAAATTATTTGAAGGTGAATTTAGCAATTATTATTCAAAAGGCTTAAAACCCTATGACTATTTAATTGCTCTAATGTCAAATTAGGAGGTGCTTATTGTTCATACAATAAAGACATACTAATGGAAGCTAAGATTTGTTACTAAAAATAACAAAATGTTAATTTTATTAGTGGAGCATTTTTACCTTGATAGATACATTTAGTAACATTTTATATTGTGGTAAGTTTTGACAGTGCAAGCAGTTCACCTGTTCAGTTGTTAAATGAGGCAGAGAAGTTTGAGTGCCTTTGCTGATGGACAGGAGGTTATGTACCACAGCCACTTAGTGTTACGCCAGAAATCTGCCTCGTACTGCATGTTATAGTTTAAGTTACACTCATGGATCCACACATTCTAGTATTTACATCTTTGGGTAGCCTTCAGAATTCTTACTAAACTTGCTAATGACTGGTGAATAGTCTGAAATTTCAAGAATTGAATGGCTGTTTACTACCTTAACTAAATTTAGGCAAACATTTCTCCTTCATGTGTAACATCAAACAGATACTAGCAAATAGCTGAACAGATACATAGCTTTATGTTTCAGAAGTAGCCTGAATACAACAGAGAAAACAGAAATTAATTATTTTAGTTCTAAAAGTTAAAATGCTCAAGAACACTATGAAACAATAAAATGTAATTATGTTATCATTAATGGCTTACATGTTTTTAATAATAGGGAACTGCTTCATAGTTTCATTTTTATTTATAAACATGGTAGCTGTAGCAGATCCAGTCCAATTGTATCACCTGTGTGTTGGATTACATCAGCTGATTTTAAAAGGTGAGGTTATTCATATAAGATCTGCAAGGGCTAGGATCTGGTCATGTGTCCAGTTTTCAATGGAGTAGTGACATCATACAATCATGACAACTATTAATTAATTAATTTTTTAGTAGTCACTAAGGAAGTTGCTGAACAGAAGGTACTAAAATTGGACATCTTAAAATTGGTAAGTCTAATACATTCATCCAGTATTTTTTAAAACTAGCCAAAAGCATTTTGGAGAGTTAATATTATCTTCAGTAAATCTTTGAATTCTGCAGAAGTCCCAGTTCCCAAGAGGACTTGAAGGAAACTGAAGGGTGAGAAGAAAACTAGCAGTGAGCCAAGACTTTAGAAAGACTAAAGTAGAATAACCTGTAAGTTTGTCAAGCTAACCTTGATATGGGAAAGCATAATGAAAAAAAGGATTAAGCAGGGTAATATAGGCCATGCCAACTTATACAGAGCTATGGAAAACATTTAGGAAATTAATTGGATCATTTTTAAAAATGTGTTCATACATTTGGTTGCTAGAGGTAATTGTGTTGATGCAAATGACTTACGTCTCTGTAGAGTGTTTGACTTATTTTTAAATGGCATCTTGATTATTAAATTAGAATGACACAACATCATCAGAGTAGTCATAAATGGATGGAAAGGTGATTATAAGACGGCATTCAAAAGTGGAAATCATCACTGAACAGGCTCTGCAGAGGACATAAATTCATTTACATGCCGTTATCTGCCTGCTAAGTGTGCAGAGTATGTATGGTAGGGAGTCTCGCACCTTTAATCTTGCTTCTTGTTAAACTTAGTTTCATGTTACTCTTGTAGCTACATTTGCCTGTTGCAGGCTGACTTTTTAATTTTAGTGATTGTTTTAATTTAACACCTTAAACAATAACAGCAAAGTAAACAGAAATGTTTGCAATTCCCCTGCAAAAACAGAGGAGTCAGAGGCCTCCTTTTCCATAACAAAGCTTTTATTAGTACATGACAATGAGATTATGCAATGGCTCTAAGTCTCTGTGAAATAGCTGGCATGGGCGCATGAAAGCAAGAGACTGCCAAAAGCCTCTGCGTGTTTTGGCACCTAAGAAGTGCTTGTCAGTTTACTTAGGTTCCTAATCTGATGGTCACTAAAAATAGTTTAGGTGGCTGTTTTCTGCTAATGAAGAAGTCGTGTCTTTCTGGATAATTACATTGTGAGGGAAGGGAAAAATCAGCGATTTCAGTTTATTCACTTTCTCCATTTTACAGTTAGTGTATATACGAGAGCATTCACTTTTGCTACAGTTCCTTGAACAATCCTGAAATGTCTCTAGTAAAGGGAGAGTGTACACTGTGGAACTGAACATAGTAAAACTCTTTTGCTTATGAAATGTCATTTGTGGCTTGGCTTTAAAATGGCTTAAGTTTCAGCACACAGTTCTCTCTGTCTTAATAGTAACTAATGGACTTCTTTTTACAGCCAGCAATCAGCTGAAGATCTTGCAAGAGTACCTGTTAATTCTACCAGCAATATCTTGAATAGGCTATTGCTCAGTTATGATCCCAGGATAAGACCAAATTTCAAAGGTTTGTCAGATATTTCAGACTTTTTTTTATCTTTGGAATTTAACTTCTGCTCTTTTCACACATGGAAAATTCATATACAGATAACACTTGCAACAGATTTTTCTAAAAAAATAGCAATTTCCCAACACAGTGTGAAATTGCAGGAGGTATTTACCCTTTTCAGCTGAAATACAATACAATAGGATTTTGTGATCATAATAGTGCCTGATACTTTAAGGTTGTGGTTGTTGTTGTTGTTATTATATTTTATAAAAATATATTTACAAAGTAGAATTAGATTTTATAGAATAAGCTTTAAAAATATCTTATAAACCATACTTCTAAGTTAGGCTTTAGTAGTATCTTTGCTTTATAGTATTTTAAAACACTGAATTTCTCTATAGAGATCCTTTAAGATGACTTTATAAGATTTGGGATCTGCAGTGTCGCTATTTTGAAATCATACAGAAATTAATTACTTTAAAGATGTGTTAATAATGCAGCTGACACACCTTGGGATTTAAAATAGGTTGTGAATTTAAGTACATTCTGTGTTTTTAAAACAAGTGAATCTCACATGGAGGCAAATGTGATTTACTTACATATACAGTAAAGATTGGAATATACATTCGCTGCAGAACCTCTAACAACTCATCAGCTGCAAGTTATGCTTTCCAGGAATTAGATTATTTCCTTGCTGGTGAGAGACAGACAATTTTATTACCTTACAGATACCGCAGTTTATCTAAGTCACTTCTTGTGTTTTAAAAGTTACATTTAATTATATGTATGTTAAGAGATGTATTATTGTAACATGCATATCAGTAGTATAAGCAATTTGGAAACCTATATTCATTACTGTGCTTTTCAAGAGACCATTTTCAGATGCTCTATTTAACTAAGCTTTATAGATGTATTAAAATCAGTTCTCAGCAAGATTCCTACTATTTTCTCAATCTCTGTAGAAGAATATTTGTATGTTCACAGCACCAGGCATTGTCACAAGGGATACATGTCCAACCGCCATTCTACCTGTTCTTCAGCAAAAGATAAGCATGTAATCAGAAAGCATACTGCAGATATTCTTGGACATCCCTGCTGGCAGTCTGGTAAAAATCAAGATGGAAGAAAAAGGGAGGAAGAACGTGTAATCTCAACTCACTGGAAGGTGGAAGGAAAAGAACATTTTTTGACAAGTGATTTGCCCCTGTTAAAACATTCCTCGTGCATGACTGATTTTTTTGGACTGTACTTCTCATTTAAATCTGATAGGGACAGAGCACCCTTCTCTAGTATTGATGTGGAGGGTGCTCTGTCACATGCATCAGGCACTAAACAAAGTATTATGCTTATTGCATAACCAAAAGCCACATTTTTAACTGATCTGATTTAAAAATGCAAATTGATTTAACTGAATAAAGTGAAATTTTATCTTAGTAATTTTTTGGTGACCCAAGAACACTTACCCGAGTTTGTACTTACGCATTAAATGTATACTGAAATGTTGTATGCAGACAAGCAAGCTATTAGATTAGGCATATATCACTTTGTAATGGGTTTGTTTACTGAGTCAGTATGTTCTTGTTACATTTTTATATCTCTTTTGTTACTAAAAATAAGAAGAATTCCACTGAATTAAGTACTTGCAGCAGTGTAAGTGAGATCAGATGCATGCATGTAATATGTACACTGACACTGTCAACATATAGTTGCTAAATAAATTAGTTCTCACAACTGTGAGGCCACTTCCCCCTTCATGGTAACTCTCTGATAACACCAGATTAAATGACTGCTGATCAGTTCCCACAGGGTGACAGAGGGCAGATGTAGCAGCTGTCACACCATCCCTTTTCAACTGCAGGGATCCTGGCTGTGGAAAAGAGGAAAAAATCCAGTCCGTCTTTATAGTTGCTAGCTTCTAGGATTTTTCCTGGCCAATTGGTAATCATTGTAAAAAGGAGCAGCTTTGCAAATCTCTGCCTTGCATCAAAGGCTAGGTAGCTGTGAAAGATACATGAAACAATTTTTGTCTCCTGTATGAATACTTGTACATTTGTGTAACTGATTGGCACGAAGAAGTGTCCTCTTACACTGTAAGTAAATATGTCATCATAACTCATAAATAGATAATTTAAAACGATAGGTCATCATCATGACTTCAACAGTAAAAAGTGTCTGACGCTAAGAAAGAAAATTGCTTCTATGCATTGTACTATATGCAAAACTAATACTAGATTGTGAATCTTGTGATAACAGAAAGTCATGGAATTTGCAAATTTTTCAAATTGATGATCGATGACATGCTTCAACTTAGTGCTCTGGGCTGAGGAATTTTTCTGTTATCACTAGGATGAAGAGTTTTCATAATTTCCATTGACTTTCAGTGAGAACAGTTTAAACCCCACCTTTAAACCCCGGTGTGTCTGTAGTGATGTGAGAAGATAAAGTTGTTTGAGTCTCAGTTACATAAAAAACATTTCACATTATGGTACTAGTATCAAGGAGCCTCCAATGAAGGATAATTTATCTTTATGGAATTGTGCAGTTTACAAAAAATCTTTTTTTTTTTTTTTTTGGAAAGGAATTCCTGTTGATGTTGCAGTCAACATCTTCATTAACAGCTTTGGGTCAATTCAAGAGACAACTATGGTAAGACTGAAATTAAATGATTTTAGCACACATGCAGATTTTCCTGTTAAATTAAACTTCAGGCTGAAGATTATGAACTATAAAGTATAAATTTAGATTGTTTTAACTGTACAGACTGAGAATTGAGTTAATGGGCTTACTGATAGACAAACTGTGTTTTCTGCCTTAAACCTGTTAATTTACTTTACTGTCTTTTTGTCCACAGATTGTTATAGCATTTAGAATCTGATGTACATGAAGGGAAATCTGTGGTTTCTAAGCATGAAATATAGTTCTTTGCATAAGATATTTAGTTCAGGGGAAAAACACATTTGGTGGTATGAATTAATTGATCTTCATGAGAGCTAATTTGTTGCTTGGTGTGTTATTAAAGAAAATACTTGGATTTTAGATGAGACAAAAAAGAACAAGCATAAAGAAGGCTGAAGCATAAAAGTCCTCTGTTTTGTACAGATGTGAGCATAGGAGTAGATCGTGGAGGAATAGAAGGAAAAGGAATAAAGGGCTAGGGTATCAGTGCATACTCTTACTCCTGTTTATTTACCAGTGGGAGAGAAGATGAACTGAGGATTAAAGTCTCTAAAAATGTTTTTCCAGCTCAGTCAAAATATTTCAAAATGTTAGTAACACCAAATAATCCTCATTACAATTTTGACTTTTTTGTTTCCATATGAAATAAAATTAATTTCAAAATAAAAAATAATTTCAGCAAAGCTATTTTCAATATTTTGGGATTTAAAGTTTTTTGCAGTATTCTTTCCAATACATATCATCAAAAATGTTGCCAAAAATGATATACAATTGTTGAAGATGTTTTTCTTTCTTTTTTTTTTTGTTTTTCTTTCTGGGTTTTTCTTTTGTGTACAAGAGAGGAGAGGACACCATGTCTTACCAGTATGTGGAAAGCCTACACTTGAACTTGAGAGTTCTGAGAGACCCCCTGATCATACGGTTTAGAAACAGCTTTAGCTATAGCTAAAGCTATAGCAATGGCTATAACAGCTTTTGAGCAGCTTGGCCAGAAACTTCTGTTTGTTTAACTAGGAGTGATAAAGGATTTAGATTTGATTGCAAATGATAACTCAACTAATGGTATTAGAGGGAAGTGACATTAAAACAAAGAACATAAGCATGCTGAAGATATCTCAAGATTTATTTCCTGAAAACAAAAAGGGAACTAAAGTTTAAAACGAGGCAGGGAGGAAGAGCAGGAAAGTAGGAGTGAGATAAGTGTCTAAGATGGCAGGTATATTAGGCCAGATGGCCCTTTCAAGTTTCTGAAATTTATTGCATGCTTTAAAAAGTGACTTTTACAGAGGCTTTTTTACAGTTCACTCAGGTCCAAAAGTAACAAAACATGAATGTAATGGGTGTGCCTCTGAAAAAAAAAAAGGATGCTTTCTGCAGCAGTGCATGTATGCCTGCCTGCGAATTCCTGATCTAGCCGCTTACAAATTTACTGAGATGTTCTGTAAAATAAGTCATGACATCCTTCATATTTCAAAGCCTTGGGCACCTTCCTCACTTCAATTTATGCTTTTTTTTTTTAGATTTCTGTGTCCAGCCCATCACCATGATATATAAATATATTTATGTGAAGTTGAGATTACTCTTTGTTTCCCTTCAGGTATCACATGAAGCACTGAGAAAAGAATTAGTCACTATCTTGCTTGTATCACTTGGGAAGCCCTTCCTGCTCCAGTGGGCATGGGGTCCCATGGACATACAAGAGTTGCTGCTCTCTAGGGGTAGTCTGATACTTTTCTTGGGTTGATCTAGATAATGCGCTGAACAGTAGCAGTAAGTCTCTTCGTCTGGGAAACACCTTGTTCCTCCAGCATCACAGGAGGATTGTTTGCTGGATCTCTGAGGCACCAGCTCTGGGAGGGAATTTACTACAGGGTTGTAGAAGGACTAACGGGATCACATACATAAGATCGAGACAGTTATTTCACCTCCTGGGTTCAGAAAGGAGAGACTTCTACACACAGTAACAAACTTGCTGAAGAAGGTTCCTCAGTGTTGGAGCGTAACTGTCTGTGTCTCTACTGTGTCAGGCGTTGGTTTTGAGTTGTAAGGAGTGTTGATTTCTTGATTGTATCTCTAAAATCTAATCAGAAGCTGCTAAACTGGTTGGAGTGATATGATTAGTGATACCAAAAGGTATGAAATAATACATTTCTAGGTATTCAGTGGATGATACATCCTGGTGATTCTTGGCTCTTTCACAGCCTCAGTAGGCTGTCTGAAATAGCTAAATTTGTAGTTTTTTTGCAAAATCTAGCATTTAGGTAGACATGTAGAGGTAAAACAGCATGTTTGGCCATGCTAAAAACATGCTGTGTTCCATTTCAGGATTCTTTTGGGTAGTGGAAGGATGGGGAGAAATAACAGATCCTATATTATTTCTGTGGGTGCCAGGTGATTGAAAGTGAGATGGTTGAAGGCCCAACAAACTAATGGATGGAGTGCCAGTGAGAAAAGGCCACTAGGCATGCCGATCTCCTTTTTTGTTCAGGAGCATATTAATAGAGGTGCAAAAGGAAATATCTTCATCAAGATCTGAGATGTCCAAAATAGCCAACTCTGGGCAGGGGATTCATGTCTGGTATTTCTAACTAGTCAAAAGAATCCCACAGTGCACCTGGTTCAGAATCATGGTGGCTACTTCTGATCATTCCTCACATATTTTAGGAATTCCACAAAATTTAGCAGGCAGAGCTAAACTTGCAAAGGAGTTCAACTGTTTATACCATCTTTGCACCAACTTTAGCCAGGCCAAAAATCTCCAAAAACATTCATTCACAGATAGCATATATTAGAAAATCTTAAAAGTATCCTTGATATTACATAATAGTTTGAGATTGCATCTCTTTGACGGTCATAGGAGAAAATCTATTGAAGAACAATTTGATGCAACTGGTGTTTGGCAAAAGCACTGGTGTTTTTTTCTGAATTTTATGTTTCCCTGCTTTATCCCATGTAATAATAATAATGTATCTCCTTCATCTTCTGGGTTTAATGAGTATAGGAATTCTCAGAATGTCCAGAATGGCTCGTACTACTAAAGACTCCATATTTGGACAGGTTGCAGTCTGTTTCGGTTCAAAACAAGATGATCGTGGGATTAAAGCAGGGAGCCAATATGTCAAACCCGGGGTGGAGCAGTAGGCTGAGGTGGGTACTGAGGACGGCACATTACTCATTCAGGGTTAGAATAAAGAAGAAAAGTGTTGCTAGATTGAAAGCAAGGAAGGCAAGCAAATGTTTTGCTGAGATCAGGATTCTGTAAGCCTGTCCCCACTGGAGGTGAGGAGCTGGTGTTTGGTTGCAGATAAAATTGATTTGTCAGTATCAGAGAGGTGCAGAGTCTGACTGTTCAGACAAATATACCCTACTGATGGGGATCTGAATATTGAATGGCATCTCTGCTGCTGCCTCTGCCTGGCCAAGGACAGAGCAAATCCTATTAACGCCCAGTTCCCTTTGCTGCGCCTTCTCCAGTGAGGATCAAATAATTTTTTCCTTGCTGTCCTTCCATTCCCATGAAAGCTGCATTCATAGCTATGCAGTTGGCTCATCATCCACAAAAAAGAGTGGGGATTGCCTCCCACTGAGGGAGAGTCTACTGAGTTGTAAGAGAAAAGGGAATTTCTTTACAGAAAAGTACAGATGGGTTTGAAGGCAAGATTAATGGAGGCATGGCATAGTTCCTGTGCCCGGAAGCCTAGATTGCTTTAATCAAACCCTTCTGAAGAAACTGGAGGGCAAACATGTTTGCTATGTGTATGGAAAATGTGGAGTTCATGGTGTGTTCTTGAGTACTTGGGAGAATTGCCACATTTTCACACATATATTGGACAAATTACCTGGAAAATATAAACAGAAAATTAGTTAACTTCAGAGTGAATGAAAACTTGTACAGACGAAACAGAGAAAAGCTTATACCAAAGGTGCAACCTTCCAGTAAGCTCCCTTTCTCTGAACTCCTATAACTTGTTTCCTTCTAGCTCATTAGTCCACTTGCTTAGGATAATGACCAATGTATTCAGAGGCTGTATTCAAGATCTGTAGTCACAGTGTAATTCTGCTGACTTAAATGGCAAAACACCACTTCCTCATTTTCCTTTGCTTTAAGGCTTTGCACAAAAGGTATTTTTAATACTCGTGTTTAAAAGAAAATTCAGGTTTTTTCTTTTAATCTTAAAAATATCCTTTTCTAATTGATTAAAAGACAGTGGTATTACCTTTCCTTTTTTTGTATCATCATAGTTCGTGTAGAAGCAGCCTTTCATGAATTACAGCGTGTTCCAGTTTACAGGAAGAAAAGTATTAGCCATGCCCTCTTCTGGCCTGAGGAATTTTTCTGGCCAATGCCCACTGTTTAGCAGGTTGCATTTCAAATGTTTCCTAGAATGCCTCTCCTTTCAAATTGCCTGAAAGCCACTTAACCTTCTGTTGGAGTTTCATGGAAAAACAAAGCCCCATGGAATGAATACTTCTGTGATTCTTTTTACCTCCTAGTTCCTCCTAGCTCCAATGCTTATGAACAACACTTTCCCTCCCTAGTTTCAGGCTTTTTAATCATTATTTGAGTTTCTCTTTATTAGAAAATGCTGTTCATTCAAAGACTGTTTATAAAATGTGTAGGAGGAAGACAGTGTGCCTCATGCAGACCACTTCTTCAGGCCACATTGAGCCTAATTGCAGTGCATATACTGAATCTTAAACTTCATTGCCCAAATTTGAGATGACTGGTTGCAAACTTCTCTCAAAATGGATTTATACCAGAAATGCTGGCAGATCATGGCCAAATGCTGCAGTATTTTATACTCTGCTAAAAAGAAGCCCCTCTGTACTTCGTTGTTTAGGCCAGCCAGAGTTTTGTATCATGACATCTCTTTGTTTCCTTTGCCATTTTCTATATTGCCTCAAATGCTGATGGCCTCCTTCTCCACGTCAGTAGTTTGCAGTCATTTAGGTAGGTCTGAACCTACCTGCTTTAAGTTAATGGGATTTTTCTTCCATTAACTTAAATGGGAACTGGATCAAGTTCTTAAAATCTCACTGCATCCCATTGTTTGGTATAGTTCTGCATCCCATTGTTTGGTATAGTTAAGAATTGAGTTTGTAATAAAGCAAGGAAGGAAATAAAATTCTGCCCATCTGATCTTATTTCCAATTCTTATTTTGGCAGCGCATTCTGCTTTTCAATGATTTAAACATCTTCTGAATGGGCAAGCTGAAGGCAAACGTTGCATACTGCTTATCTTTTGCCTGTGGCTTTGAGAGGCATTTTATTTTGTTAAAATTAGGGTAATGCCGTTGTTTATGGGGAAATTAATTTTAGTGTAATGAACGGTGGGATGCTTGTGAGCATGAACAAGAAATAAATACAATGAGTATTTATCTCATATGGTTTAAAATAATCATTTTCCCTGAGATAAGTCCATATGGAATGGGAACTTCAGCGAAACAAAGTAAATATTCAATTATATACGTATAATTGAAAAGATCCATTCTGAGATAATGACCTGAATTCCCTCATATTCTGAAGCTTATTTATAAAAGCCTCCTAGTATGAAGTCACTTTATATTAATTATTATTTTATACTGTTCCTTTACTCTGACAGAATAGTTTAGATCTTCATATAAATAAAAATCAAACTCCGTGTATTTTTTCAAAATCAGTCAAAAAGTCACACTTCCCTCAGAACTATGCATATTAATAAATATTGCTTCAGTTCTTTCTGGTTAATTTTGGTATTTTTTTACAGTGCAGTGGGGCAAATGGCTACATTACATAGTGCAGTGTAGTACAGAAGTACCTGTGCCGATCTGGCTGAATGAGAAAGTGGGTAAATCCATAGGGTAAACAATTAGAAGAGAACTGACAATGTAAGTTCTGTTTTCAACAGAAAAATGTATGACAAGGTGGCATTAATTTGTGGAGTACACATCCTTTATAAAATTAGATTGCTATATTGAATACATTCACAAATCAAAGATATATAAAGAACCTTCACTCACATATAGTTCATCCCTGGTATTTTGTTGTTATTTCAAAGCACTGACAATTTTTTCACTGCTATAAAAGACATGGCCCATATCCCAGGATGCTTTGTGCCTAAGAAACAATTATTAAAAAAAAAACAACACATACGGTAAAAGACAACTAGGAAGGCCAGAGATAGAAGTTATCTTAAACGCAGAATTTTCTTTTTGAGTTTGTTGCATGTTAACAGTATCTTTATTATTTTTCTGTATATGATCTGCTGAGTTTATATACATAGCAAGAGGCATTGGCTTCAATTGAAATGAAATAAGCAAAAAGAGATAAGGCTGAAAAATCATAACTGACATACTGGGTTAGACATTTCCTTTGGATGCACACAGCTTTCACTAAGGACAGAATACATGTAGGTACTGTTTTGCCCTAGGACGCTTGCTACTCAAAGCAGTTTTCCCAAAGGCAAAATTTGGTTCTCACTAAACATGGTTCTACCACTGTCCATGCTTGAGCAAAACTCTGGCTGAATTCAGAGGAAAGTTTCTTCTGTATAAAGCCCTGATTTTGTCTCTTTGAGGCCTGATTTTGTCTCTTGAGTTCTGCTTTCGTACATGCTACGTCATTACTTATGTTGCAAGCTGTAATCCTGAGTAATCCTCAACTATCAAAATGTCCCCAAATCACTGCTATATGTCCCAAGGTTGTTTTCTGGGTATGTAGTTTAAAATCTGTTACCTGTGTGGGCTGTTTTCTGCTTTTATAGTGTGACATTTTGCTATCAGTGTGCCACTTAACCAACTGGAGAATAAACTGGCATTTACACTTACAGGATGTCCTGATAGAAATGATATGCTGCCTGTTGCCTGTAGTGTATTAGTACTGTTAAGCTATGGCCTCCCTCTACCCTGCTGCGTGCTTTTCTTTATACCTATATAACATGTCTACTATCAGAGAGGATGAAAAAAATGATACTGGGAGTAGAATTTGGTCCTTTTTTTTTTTTTTAATTTGACCATACTCAAACACAAGTGCAACATAATCTACCTACATGTAGTAAATTCTATTAAAATCAACATTTATTAATGTCATTTGAGGAGTTACTGTCTTTGTGATAGAAAAATGAGAGCATAAATTGCTTTTTTCGTTAGATTCTCATAGAATTGTTCTCTTCTTCCATGTGCTTTGGCTAGATTTTCGGCTAGTCTAATACTTATATATTCTTCCCATCAGGATTATAGAGTCAACATCTTTCTAAGACAGAAGTGGAATGACCCCAGACTCAAATTACCCAATGATTGGAGGGGTTCAGATACACTGACAGTGGACCCAACAATGTTCAAGTGTCTCTGGAAACCAGACTTGTTCTTTGCAAATGAAAAAAACGCTAACTTCCATGATGTCACTCAAGAAAATATACTTCTTTTTATATTTCGGGATGGAGATGTCCTAGTCAGCATGAGGTATTTTATTGATATATTTATCCCGTTATTTTATTTTAAAATCAGTAAATGAACTGATAGTGTGTATGTGCTGTATTAGACTTAGTAGCTTAGTAGGGTTTTTAACTAACATTTGTATGACAATTTATAAACAATATCACACTAAATAGTATGCATGTGAATAAATCGGAAGAAAATGTTTAAAAGCATATCAGTTGATATCTCAGCAAGTAGTGGAAGTTTGAAGTGTACGTTCATATGTCATATTAAGATACCACATTAAGTAAACTAGCATTATGCGAAACAGTATTCAAATTCTTTTGACTAATGGCTAGATATCTGGAAGCATAATGCAATGGATAAGATATCTGAAGTAAAAAAGCCTCCAGCAAAGCAATGTAATTTTCACACCACTTGAATTTCTACATAAGTTTAAAAAAAGGATGACTAGTTACTAATGAAACAGTGAAAGGCAGAAATTACAAAAATGATGAATATAATTGTTTTGGAAAAGGAATAGGACATAATCCTGATTACGATCCATGCCTTACTGGATAGAGATTTTTCAGAGGACCCAAAAATGTTATTTAATTTTATTGCAATTAATGCATTCCATTTTGTTGTTTTGCTTGGTTTATCAAAGGTATACAGTATGCCATAAAAGCAGTCATTCACCAAAAGCAGCACACTGATTGAAAAGAATGTCATGATGAATTAAGGATCGGGAGTACTTACAGACACAATGATTTGTAGAGATCGGGTTCATTTTCCTAACAGAGAATTGGATCATAATGCTCTGATATAGGAAAAAAAAGGTACCTAAATATACTGCAACTTTCTTACTATTAAGAGGAAATCACTTCTGAAATTATAGTAATATGAGCTCTTTATTCCTGGAGTAGAAGTAGCTAGAAAAGAGAAAGAAGATGGGAAATTTTTTTTTCACATTCCAAGTCAGGATGACAAATCTCAACCTCAAGACTTTTGCAAACTAGCAATCAGAAAAAAAATGAATTGGGCAATCAAAACATTTCATTTGGCTTACTATGAAGGTCTTAGTTTTGATTTCAGTTGGTTTGGTAGCAGTTTTTGAAGTCTGTAGGAATTAAGATTTCAAAATGGAAAACCACTTTTATCTATAAAAGGAACTTCTCTTTTGAAATATCGAATGTTAAATGAAACGTTGAAACTTTTTTCCAGGTATTTTTCCAGGTTGGACCTATTTATAAATCAGCTTATTTTAGTGAATAGTTTAGGTCAGTGAATAGTGACTAGTCAGTTAATAGAAATTTTTCTGATGGAAAAATATTTTTCTAAAAATTTCCACATAACAAAACCAAACTCGATATAGTCTGAAATTAATGTCTTATATTCTCTGTCTATAAACATTCTGCTAATATTAATAATATAATATATTCATAAGTGATATGTATGAGGTTAAGATTAATTTTTTGAGGTATTGTAGTTTGGAGACATGCTGCTAAGATGTTTATTATTTAAAATGTATATTGCTATGCCTTGTATTTTTAATTTACAATGAAATACTATCACATAAAATAAATTAATCTTCGCTTATCAAAATACATGAATGACAAAACTCATGTGAAAGTAAGTCCCTGCCTGGATAAACAGTTAGTCAAGAAATAAGAAGCTGCAGGTAGGAATAAACAGTCAATGCTCACCTGCAGGGAAGTAAGCAATAAAGTCCCACAGAAATCTGCCCTGTGGCCTATGCTGTTCAGCATGAATCATCTGGAAAAGGGGGAGAGTTGTGATTTGGCAAGGTTTTTTGATGATACCAAGATATTCAAGGTAGTAAAGATGAAGGACAGTGATAATTATAAAATTATAGTGAGAATAAATAGACACAGTGATTTATAGAGATCAGATTGAATTTCCTAACAATGAGTAAATTATTAAAAAGACTAACAACTAGGCCATAAAGTGAGAGATGAAATCCAGTGTAAATAACTGTAAAATGATGTATGTAGGAAAAAATTATTCTAACTTCACATATAAACTAATGAGTTCTGAGGAGATTATTACCACCCATTGCCTTTGGGTAATAGTGGCTGGGTTTCTGAAAATGTCAGTTAACTGCTCAGTAGTGGCTGAGAAAGCGAACTGAATGTTAGGAAGTATTAGGGAATAAAAAAAATGTCAAGCCACGTTATAAATTCATGATATCCTCACATCTTGAATACTAGTGGCAGTTCTGCGGTCTTCCCACTGCAAGAAGGGAGATAAGGATGAAAGGTGTGAAACAGCATCTTTTATAAAAAGCAACTAAGTAAAGTAAGACTTTTCATGCTGGAAAAAACAAGATCTGAGGTGGTGGCATAGAGGTCTCTTAATCATGAATAGCATAGAGAGAATGGATAGACATTGATTATTCACTTTTCCAATATAAAAACTGTGGGACAGGGTCAAGACAAATAAGAGGAGACAGTTGGAATGTGTCTAGTTTAACTATGGCTTTTCTTGCTGCAGCATGTTATGTGTGCTAAAAGTTTACATGGATTTCAGAAAGCACATGTATAATTCTTAGAGGCAAAAAGTCTCTTCAGATCTCTTAAATAGTAAAACATTACTTCTGGCTTAAGAAGTCCTTCAGGTTCCGAGGCTGTAGGATATCTGGTGAAATAGCATTTCCTGATTGCTCTAGTCTTATATTCTTCTTCAGAGGTCTGCCATTGGCTCCTGCTGGAGACAGGATTCCTGTTCTGTTATGAGGCTTTGGTTTGATTATTCTTGTGACATAAAGTGCGTTTTGTCATCTGTTAGTAGTTCTCTAACTTACAAAATACTGTATGTTTACAACTATACATGAAATTTTATTATAGATTATTAGATATACCTGAATTTCATATTGCCACTTACTGAATTTTTTGTTATATTTTTCTGCTATTTTAGAAGCTGCAAATCAAATACCTGTGATTTTTCTCCTATTGCACTCCATTACTTACAAGGCAGTTCACATTGCTTCTAAATGCCATTTTTATATTTTCAGATTATCTATTACTCTGTCATGCCCTTTGGACTTGACCTTGTTTCCTATGGATACACAGCGCTGCAAGATGCAACTGGAAAGCTGTATGTAAATCAGTCTGTGCATAAAAACAGTTGCCTTCTAGATGTGCCTGAGAATCAAACCAAAATGATCAATTCTGTATTGTTCGTGTCAACATTTTGTAATGAATCTTGAAATTAACATTTACTGATTCCCACGAATATGCATTTCGCTGTGCAAAATTTTTCTTGCAGTTATGAAACCACGCACACTTTATTTTTAACTTTTGCTGTCAAACACAATGGCAAATGATTAGTATTTATAAAAGCATCTATGAGGAACTTAGTAAAATTAAGACACTTTATAAAAGGAAGATTCTTTTTAGAAAAAAGAACCAACTTTCCTTAGGTAGTTTTAACCTCCATAATCTGTGCTTCTTTGGAACATGATCATTGTCGTCCAATTTATCCCATTGCATTGATGATGGACAGCATTATTTGAATCTCTTGTGCTAGTGTACCAAAGGAAAGGTATCTGATGCCAATATAGAGAGAGCATATACCATGAAACCTCCTGAAAGTGGTTTCAAGAGGTATTGTGGCCATAAGCAGGCATCTCCCCCTACTAATCCTTGATCTCTAAGTGATTTGATCTTATGAAGGGGTGGCCAGGTCTCATTGCTGAAGGACTTCATGTCATGCTGGAGCTTGCAGCTGAAATGTTTCTGAAATCCATCTTCTTTCTCCACTCCAAAGTATGAGAGTCCCTGCTCCAGTATAGCCTTTCCCCAATGCTCAGATCTCGGTTGATCCTACATTGATGACAATTCTATTTCTCTGAGTAAAGCAGAGAGGAGGAAGACAGCTTGCCTCCAACCTCTTCTTGTTACTAATACAAAACCTTTGTTCAGTTGTTACCACACCAGCTCTGGTGAAGAGCATGAAATTGGGGAAGCGAAGACAAAAGCAAAGGAACAACAAGGCTAATCTAAGCTGAGCAGGGCATCACAGCAGGGACAAGAGTAATAATGGTATCAGAGCTTTATGATTTAGTTTTTGATTAGTAGCATTTGCCTTTGGAATTGTGGTATTTCCGTAGTATCAGTGCTTTGCCCATTGCTAATAGGTATATACATTAGCTGAAGTAAACTGTTACGGTAGACGCAAATCAGTCTGTGGTTAAACTGGAATCCGACAGTGATATTAATGGAAGTTTGTTCATGCTTTCTCAGTATGGGTTGCTTTATAAGCATAACGAGGTATATTTTTTCAAGGAAAAACTGTTCCTGAAAAGGTTCTCAGTACTTTATTTAAACAAGCTGATTTTCTTTCTCCATGCTAAGTGTAATATATTCAAATGCATGCATTGCATGCATTAAACTTCCTTGTACCTCTTTATTCACTTATCAAAACAAAAAATTGTACTCATGGCCTCCGTGACTCCAATCTGCCCCTACAGTTTGAGCAGTTGGCTTGCTTTCTCTCTTAGCCATTAGCAGTTTTATTCTGCTGTTTTTTTCCAACATCTTTTTTTTTCTTTCTGGTTATTAAATTCCCAAAACAAAAAGGCCACCAGCTGTACTACAGTTACTGAAGAACTGTATTAATGGATTAAGTTAATGTATTTATTTTCTTTAATTAAGTACTACATATATTCTGTATCTTTTACAGGAAGTTTCTGAGTACATTTTCAAAATTGTGTGTTTACAGTATTTTTTTAATTTATACACTTAAACACGTATCACAAAACTGAAAAGAATTTTGTTGCCGTAATAAATAGTTCTGCTTAGTTATACTGTCATGCTAAGTTATTGTCCTAGCTGGGCTTGAGGACTCGGCAAAATGTGCACAAGAACATATATACATACATACATACATACATACATACATACATACATACATGCCTTCCAAAACTGTACTTAAGAGATGCCAATATGATGTAGATAACTAACAGCAGTACATTAAGTCCACGTATGCCATCCATAAAAGCATGAATGTTATTAGAAGACGTTAATGTGGAAACAGGAATCCCCAAAAAACCTTTCTTCAGCAAGCACCTACAATATCTTTGGAGCAAAGGAAGAATTCCCAGTAGATGGAGAAGGATTAGAGTTCTGCTAGATGAGCAGTAATCTTTAGATCCTTGATATCTTCAAAGGCTAAGTGGATGTCATCTTATGTCTATTACATTCCAAACTTGTCGTCAAACCTTTTTGGCTTTACTTTTTGTCATAGAAATCAAGACAGGTAATGTTTTAACCGTAGTGATGACTTAAAGGATTCCAGCATTTCCAACAAAAAGGGAGGAGCTCACATCTGGTATGAAACCAACAGGTAAACCTCTTTTTTACAAATGTAGAGAGGAAAAAGAAGGGCACAACATGGAAGGATAGAGTGAAGCTCCATTGCTCCAGTTCTCTGGAAGAATTTTGCAAGTTCTTTCTCTCATTTCAGAGTCAGATGGTTCCTGTGTAATTTGAGGTATCAGAATTGCCTTAATAACCTGTAATGAATTCAGTGGAAGTTTTGGGCACTCTGGATTTTGCAGGATCAAGATATTTGGTTGTTTCTTTTTTAACAATTGACCTTTGTTAGGACTTTCTTTATGGCTGATATCTGAAGAATCAGACAGAACAATAATGAACAGAGGGCACTTAACTGTATCAATAATAAGCAGTAACATTAAAGAAATAACTGCCCTTTGAAGTCAGAACATACCTCTTTGCCAGTCTATTAATCATGATATGATTTTATCATTTCACAATATTCAAAGGCACTAGAAGCCTTCACTTGCCAAGCTCTTTATTTACTCTTCGCATTACTGGTTGCCAGCTGTTTAAGATGAAAGTTATATCCATTCTGTACATCATTATAGCCACTAACTCCAAAGTTTCTCTTCCTTTTCCACTGGTCTTTCTTCTAGTGTGAAAAAAATCTATATTTCCCAATGTTCCTGTAACATCTAGATACACTGACAATCACTTAGCACAGTAAAATCCTTGTTTTACTTCCCTACAACCCCCAAAGCATTTGTCTTGCCAAAATAACAAAAGAAAGAAAGGAGGTTTACAGTATGATTTGTCCATGAAATAACTTTTATCTAAAGAGAAATTGAAAAGTTACTATGGAGAGGAGATCAAAATAGCACTTCAATAAAATTGAAAATTCAGTAGAGTTTTTACTGTCTTTGTTTTAGCAGTGAGCACTGAAACAAATGCCTCTTCATCAGTGTAATGCTGCTGATAATATAATACTCCACTAAGTCCTAATTTTAGACCTACATAAAAATTAATTTATGAATTACTTTATTTTTGTATTTATTTCTTTGAA